CACCACCACCCCCACCACCACCCCACCACCCCAATCACCGCTACCACCACCACCACCACCACCACCACCACCCCCATCATCACAGCGTGGTCATTGTCACCAACACTACGAGCAAATAACATCGTCGTCATCACCGTCATCAATGTGGCAAAGTCAGTCAGGTTGGCAACAAACTCGACAGTGCTTGAGTTGGAGCAAACGAAGGTTGTCGACGAGTTCTGAAAGCACGCGGCTTTTTCACTGCGAAGAGCCACACTCCCAGGCTCAGCCAACAGCAACGAGCACAGAAAAGCCTCGTTTCTCACGGAATCCTAGTAATCGCACGGAAACCTTTGCTCAGTACGGTGCAGGGCGGCGTCTGCCCTTGCCCTTGCCTTGGCCCTTACTGCGACCCGCTCCGCACAAGTTCTCGATGTTTTCCTTGTGGTTGTAGGGTGCCTTGCAGCTGACCAAAAACTTGACAGCGTCCGCGATGTCCACATCTCTCCCCGCCATGGCATAACAGCTGGAGTACGGCATCTTGCCTTGGAAATCATTGCTTTCCCTGTTGTCCACGAAGGCAACCTGAAAGCCATCGGCATTCGTCGTCCCAAACTCGCTCAAGGCGCTGTCGTTTCGAGGATCAGGCAAGCTGCCTCCAAGGACGAGCGTGTTGTGGATGTTCTTCGGCGTAGGGGTCCCGTCATCCTGAAGGCGCACTTGATAGAAGGATCGTGCATGCACGTCGCCCTGGTTCAGGCGAACCTGCATATTCATGCCCCGGAACTCCTTCCACACCTTTGGTGGAAGCTGGGCGCCATGCTTCTTGAAGTAGTAGCGGTGCTGGAATGCACCTACATCTGCATCGGTTACCGCGAGCGTGACACACGGCATGGCAATCCCACTACGACGGCTTTGCCCTCTTACTTCGATCGTTCTACCACTTCTTCTGTGCAGCAAGAGCCAAGCAGCGGCAACTGTCCGACAGTCCACCTCAAATTCTGACCTGAAGCATGGAAACAAGGTGCATGCCGAAACCCTCAAAACAAGAAACCCGAAACCCTAAACCCTAAAACCCGGGCCTTGAACCATAAAGGAAGAAACGCTCTAAACAAAGGGAACCCTCGAGGGGCCTCGCCTGCAGAATCCTCAACTCCCAGAGCCCGCGATTCTTTATTTTACTTGAAGGAAGCTTCTACCGAGGAAACGGCTTATTGTTGAGGGTTTGGGGTTTAGGGCTTAGGATGTAGGAACGGTTTAGGGTTTAGGATTTCGGAATTAAGGTTCTAGGTTAAGGGTGCCATCATGATTTCGGACCTTTTGCACATTTAGGCCGCCTTAGGCGTCCAGGGAACGATCCAAGCCTGGGACAGGTAGAAGTCCAGCCAGTGGGACTCATACGCCATCGTTTCCTAATCAAGGACAGGAAACCCTCATCCTCAACACCCGATCCTATGCCCTCAAGCCTAAACCCTAAAAACCTAAACCTTAAACTTCTGAACCCTTCAATCCCTAAACCCTCAAGCCTTAAACCGCGCGGACTGAGGCGTAGTTTAGGGTGTATGGGGCTTGGGTTTAGGGTTTAGG